GCTAGAATGGCCCTAAAAACTAACACTATGCATTTGGCTTTTAGCTAATGATCCCCTAGGGCTCTGAGAGGGGAAGGAGCTTCCCCAAAGCTGCAGACAGGCAATTCCGGAGCAGGTTCAGAGAAATAGCAGATCAGCCTTGGCTTTCAATCAAAGAATAAGCTTTTCCCTTATTTACATGCTCCCAAAAATCCAGGTCACTTTCCCCTCCTCCCATCAGGTGAGCTGTGTTAGGGAAACCTTGCAAGACGCCCAAAACCAAATAAGACTCTTCCCAGGTAGGTAGACCAGATGTTCATAACACTTGTCTTCTCCCCTCAAAGCTCAGATTTCCCATATAGGCAGGAAATAAACACATTATATATAGGAATGCCCCAACTCCCGGATTCCCAGTGGTGAGAGAGCACGGTATCCGCTCTGGGAGGAACAGTTGAGTCCCGCCTGAAAACCTCTACCTCTGTCCATTGGTTATCTTAATAACCCCTGTAGGAGCTCTAGTAATAAAGAAAGAGTATATTTACACTCTCTAAGTGTATTTACTCTTTGCTAAGCCTCAACGGTGGAGAGGAGCTGAGCTTTAGACCACGCTATGTGTGTTCAAAGCTGCCCCTCTAGAGCTCAGGGCTCCTCAGCAGAAGAGAGGTCCGGGCTGGGTGTGTGCAGGTGTTTCTGAGGGTGTGGAGTGTTGGTGCATCCCTGTCAGGTCACAGACCAGTGCCTGTGGACCCAGAGGGCAGCTGTGATCCCGGGACCCTTCTCATCTTGCCTAGAGAAGAGACAACCTGAACTGGGCGGCATGACTTCTGGACTCTGGTCTGGACACTGCAACTTTACTATCATGTGCCTTCCAGTGTCCCTGAGCTCCCAGGTACTTCTGAGGGCTGAGCGATAAGAATGGCTGGCCATAGTAACCATTAGCTCCCCCCCCCCCATCCTTGTGGTCCGCTTCTCATTAGTCTGTGACCTTCCTGGGCCTGTTCCTCCTGTAGTGCAGCCCTCGACTCCATGTTTCAAAGGCATCTTGGCTGGAGCCACTCCCACGCTGAACACCTTCTAGGTGCAAACCAAAGCAATTACTGGGTGATTATGTGTCTCATGGATGTCATTGCTGGCGTGAGGAGGCCACGCCTCTTCTTCTAAGCTCCGACCTCGCTGCCTAGGAGTGCCCTGTGATGCTCTTCATTAATGTGGATCTGACTGGAGATTCTGACACACAATCCTGACAGTCTACACACCGCTCCACAGGGACAGGGTGTCCATCTGGCTGTTGCATGGCAGGTGAGTGGGCAGTGGCTGGGGACCTCAGGCAATGGGTGTCCCTGAGAGGCATGCGGGATGGGAGGGGTGCTGTTGGAATGAAAGTTTGATCATTGCTTGTTAGGATTTTAGACTTGGTTGGTCCACAAGCTACTCTTTCATGGTCACTAAGAATGGAAAAGCTGGTCTCCAAACACCCTGTGAATCATGGCCAAGGCTCAGCTAGGGTCAGATGAACTGAAGGAGGTGGGAACTGAAATGAGATGGAAGGACTCACATACACACACACACACACACACACACACACACACACACACGTCAGATTCAGATACATTCCTGGACATAGCTGTGGACCATGGGTCAGATGAGACATAAAAAGAGGTCTCAACAAGTCCTGAGCCATGCCCTCTCCTAATTTGAACCCATGCGCTTGAGGGCAAGAGCAATTCTCCCTGAGGTGAAAAGAGTCAGATGACCCTTAGTGGTGCCTCCTCTGAACCGAGGGAGCTATAACACAAACGACTTCACAGCCTGCTGGCAGGGGACCTAGGGTAGTGCACTCTGCCACATAGTAAATAGCTCCTGCTGGCCTAAAAGAAGAGTAGACTCAGGAAATGTAACTCCGCAGCACAGCTCTCACAGGGGAAATAGGAACAGCAAACCCAGTTGGATGCTGGGGCCCAGTGAGGAACCCAGCAGAACCAGGAACCCACAGCCAGAGTTCGCAAAGGGATGGTCCCAGTTTTACACCTTCTATTTTCCACTGCTCAACATCAGTGGGAAAATGCATGAATCAACTCTACTTTAGTTTTTCACTTTCGAACTGAGGTTGTTTCTCCATTGGCTCTGGCTTTGTTTTCCTCTGGGTTAGTTTTTGTGTGTGTGTGTGTGTGTGTGTGTGTGTGTGACCTGCATACTCCTCCCCTAAACATTGATTTAGCAAGGCCAAACTTTATTGCTGAGAATGGACAAAGTCAACTCTTTTGATGGGTAAATATTTGTCACCATATTTGTCAAATATGGGGGTCAGGGGCTAGGGAGATGCCCCAGTGAGTAAAGGCTTGCTGTGCAAGCATCAGATCCTGAGTTCAAATCCCCAGAAGGCATGTGAAGCCAGGCTCAGTGGCACACGTTGGCAACCCCAGCATTTTATAAGGAGAGAAAGGTGAGAACAGGAGAGTCCTCAGAACCTCACAAGTTGGCCAGCTTGGCGAGCACAGCGGCAGACAACAGACACCCTGTCCCCAACAATGCTGAAGGTGAGGACTGACATCTGAGGATGTCCTTTTACCTCCAACACGTGTGCCTAATTCACTCACACAAATGCAAACATACATGCACACAGATGCACGAAAATAAAATGAAATGTTGGAGTCAGAGCTAACGGGCCCAGCATATAACTTGAATCTTTTATTGAATTTAATTCCCCAGGCTGTCTGGGTCCTCCTGCCTTCTTTGGAGTGCTCCCTCTTCAGAGCACAAATAAATAAGATACCAGAGCCTGATAGCAAATATCTCCATTATCTCTCTTCTGTCCTATGAAGGCAGATATCATTAGTTGCGCGCTTTCATACACAGCCTGGATATGGTTCCAGAATTCTCTTCAGCATGGGTCTTCAGTATTTGTTGAGGATTACTGATCAACTACCAGTTGATCTGTATTAGCAAATGCAACGAGACCCTTTAGCCATCAATGAATTACAATAAACTTTCAGATCAGAAATTCTAAGAGCTAGTGAAAAACTTCATGTGGGACCGGCTCTTAGTAACCAGCCACTGGTTAAAGTTGGCCACTATTTACTTTCTGGCTTCCAACAGAACCAGGAAGAAAAGGGAGATTAAGCTGTAGCCCCAGGAAGGCCTGAGGCAACTCCCCAATTAATCATTTAGCTATGGAGCTCAGGTGCTCATGATGTATACTAAGGGCAGAGTCATAATGGGGCCCATTAAAAAACAATTATACTGCAGCCCAACTCTGGAAGATGTCACCGGCTTCAGCAGGGTTTCTGGGCTCAGTCTTACTAGGTGCCATGCCAGGCTGGAACAGAGAATTGTCACTTAGCTCTGTGGTGTCATTGTGGTGTGGAAGAAGAAAAGTGTGGAAACTGGGGAGGTGTGGAGATGGTGGCAGAGAGCGAGGGATTGAGATACAGCTTTCTGTACAGAGACCTTGTTTTGCTTACCCTTGAGGGCAGCTGGTAAATACACAAGCTAGAAGAGGAGGGAATGGCGGGGACAGGACTGGGAGCCAGGGCCAAACTGAGAGTAACCTGAAGTGCAGTGGACTGTTTCTAGAACTCTTGTCCCTGGGGCTGAAGAAATGACATGTCGACATTCATATAATAGAAGAGATCCCTTGACCACTTTGAGGCTCAGTGTCTCCATAGCAACAGAATGGATTGAATAGGATGAGCTAAAAAATCTTTCCAAGACTGGCAGGACAGTAACTTCAGCCAGGGCTGAATAAAAGAATGAAAAGAAAGCCAGTGGATGAGAAGGCAGGGAGAGGTGGAGTATTTTTGGAAAGGAGGTGACAATTTTAAAACCTCCACACACAAAGCTCATAGCTGTGGGTCCGGACCTGTGCAAAGTGTCTCATTCACAGAGACAACATCTCCTCTGGTTGGAACCTGTTGTTCTACGGTGTTTGTTCAAGGCTTCTCCTTCCCCTCTCAAAATCTCCTTGTTTAACTGGTACAGTTGGTCATTGCCTACCTTACTCTGTGCTTCTCAAACCACAGGAGGGTGTTGTAGCCACCGCTTCCCAGGGGAGGAAATCTGAACCTCAGAGAGGCCCAACAGTTTCCACAGGGCCACATGGGCAGCAAGTGTATGAGTCAGAACAGCTCTAACTGGCCCAACACCGGAGTGGCAGCCAGGAGGTATTGCCTAACTACTGAGGCTAATAACACAATTGACAACGTATCTGCTGAGTTCCTGGTATGTGTCAGGTGATAATCTGGATACTGTGGATTATTTCATCTAATCCTCTAAGACTTGGTGACAGGAATTATCAACAAACTGCTTCCACCTGGAGCCTGAGTTTCAGAAAGGTCCACTCGCTTGCACAGCCCACAAGGAATAAAACCTATATTGGAACTCAACTGTGTACCTCTTAGTACCTGACCAAAATGCAGAGAAAAGCCAAGAGGAGGCAGTAGGAATGAAAACAGAAGGAGACAGAAAAGCCGTAGGGAAGAGGGGTGTCTATGGCTTGCAGTGCTCATGCTATGCCCTTCTTTCTCTCTGCCTGAGGGGTATGGCCTCTGACCTAGGCTATGGGCCTGGTATTGGATGCCTGCCCTGCATATTCCTGAGGGAGAAAGCCTAGGGACTGGTAATATGCTCTCCACATTGTCCTCAGGCCTTAGGATCTGTCAACCAGAGAAGTTCCATATCAGGTATTGCCTGTCCCAGCCCCTCCCTGGCACCTGGCAGGAGCTGTGTAGCAGTCCTCACATCTGCGCCCTGATTAGAAGATCAAGAGGAGCACTTGGGGACCGGAAGTACTTGTTTCAGAAGCTAGCCACAGATTCCCTGAACTGTAAGGTTCTTCTGGGTCATTTCACAGATAGAACCACCGAGGCCCAGAAGAGAGGAAGCACTGCCAGTTCCCACCAGGACTTAGCAGCAGTTCTGCCACCCTTACCAGAGGCCACACAGATAGCCTACTGCTTGTCCCATGACTTTGCAAAAAGACAGCTTAGCCTAGGCCCACTTGAGTGGGGGAGTATGGGGTGAGCATGGTACTGTGTGGGCAGCTGAAAGGGGGCAGGGGTTCTGGTCCTCCAAGGGTGAGCCTGATTGCTGGTAAGCATTAGATTTCTTGTCATGTCCCATCCAAGGGACAGAGAGAGAGTTATTCATCTACTTATCTCCTATTCACGGAGCATCTGTTAAGTCCCAAGACCTAACTCAAGGCCCAGGGAGGCTGGGAGCCAGTGCTGAGCTTCATGGAGTTCTTAGCAGAGAGAAGGAAAACATATAAGCAAACAGGTGTAAAGCACTCTTGAGCACGGAGAGAAGCTTTGGTCTCAGACAGCACTGTCCGAGCTGAGATGAAGGGCGAGCTAGTCAAGTTGTGTTGACAACTCTAACCTGTATATTGCTCTGTATATTGCTCCTTTATGTTGCTCTGTCTGTCAGATCTCTTCCTCCACGCTCTCCGTCTCACTGTTCCCTTAACTAGGGGACACCCCAGTTAGGGTAGGATTGGATGTAACCACCAGAATGTTGGCTTTTCCCCCTGCCTCCCTGCTCACTAAATCCTGACCACTATCTCACTCCGATGGAGCAAGCCAGGAGGGTATGATGGGTCTAGAAGACTTGGGTCACCTCAGGAGCATCTCCAGGCTGTATCATACAGATACAGGGACAGTGACCTCCTGAACTGTGAAGATGTATAAAGTTGCCATGAGATGGCAGCTCACGATTTCTTGGTTACTATCTCTGCATAACCACGAAGGCATAAAAGGAAGAGCAGTATTGAAGAGGGAATGAGAGAAGCTGAAAGAATAAAGACACTGGCTTAGTGAGAGGAAGGGCTTTCTGACATGTCAAGGTGGGTAAGCTGCCTCTTCAAGGGCTGCAACGATTCAGTGGAAGACGAGCGAGATGGCTCAGTGAGTGTACACAGTAAAGGTGCTTACTATGCAAGCCAGGAAACCTAAGCGCAACCCCCAGAACCCATACAAAGATGTAAGGAGAGAACCAACTCCATAAAGTTGTTCTCTGAGCTCCACATGTCTCCTCTGTACCCAGGCCCCCCACCGTATGTATGCACATGTATGCCCACAAATACTTTGAATATGCACACAACACACACACACCTCATAATAATATATACTAAATGAATTCAGCCGAGGGAGCAAGGTGCCTTTGCTGACACATAGGATGTAGAAGCAAGGATAAAAAGTTAGGCAGACTGGCAGGTTGTTTTTATGTACTTAGGAGAGAGAGTGAGAGAAAGTAATAGTTAAAGGAAAAGAGGCCATGGGGAAGACTTGGCAGGAGAAAATTGGGGGAAATTACGTAACTATAATATTAAAAATGAAAAAATTATAATAAAAAAAGGAATTCAAGGTTATCCCTGGCTACATAATGAGTTTGAAGGAATCCTGGACTGCATGAAATACTGTCAGAGAGAAGGAAAGGAAGGGAGGGAGAGAGACAGACAGAGACAGAGAGGAAGGAAGGAAGGAAGGAAGGAAGGAAGGAAGGAAGGAAGGAAGGAAGGAAGGAAGGAAGGAAGGTCAGCTGAGGAAATTTGACCCTGGTCTGGGAAGCTATGAGAGAGATGGTCTCTGAGATTCAGGGTTAATGATAATGCTGGTACTGATTCATCCCACAGGAGCAGGAGATATGGTCATTGGGATGTAATTATCTCAGTCCTGTCATGCCTCAGGGTGGATATAAAGGGGGTAGGATTTGATGAGGGTGCATAGGTCTTGGGTCATGGGAATCTGTGTTGATTTCCTATTTCTCCCTCCCTTTTCTCCCCTTCTCTCAGACAGTAAGTATTTCATGCAGATCAAACCATAAGCTATAGATCATCTTCTGAGACATCTATGGCCTTCTCACAGATAGGCAGAAAAGGTTAGGAGGAGAGAGATAAGGGGGAAGGACCAAGAAAGAGGAGGATGTGGCTAAATATTGAGAAATAACAGGGTTATAAAGAAAATTAGTAGATGGGGAGGGAAGTCCATGAGCTGGAGGGAGTTTAGGGTAGAGGAGAGGTGAGAAGGGCTAGGATGGACTCTGAAATGTGTAAGAGGTACTTGAGAGACTGAAAAAGTCTGGAGGCTGGCGTGGGCTTTGGGATGCTGATAGGCACCACAGGTAGCCATTTGTCTCTTCCGCCAGTGATAAAGGAAATGACTCCTTTAAAAAAAAAAATGGCTTATTTACTGATTATGGCCTGCATGTATGCCTGTTGCCAGAAGAGGGCACCAGATCTCATATAGATGGTTGTGAGCCACCATGTGGACGCTGGGAATTGAACTCAAGACCTTTGGAAGAGCAGCCAGTGCTCTTAACCACTGAGCCATATCTCCAGCCCCTTTTGACAGAGGAGAACCAGCTTCAGAAGTTTCTGAAAAATGACAACTTTTATCTAATAGCCAGAAATCCTCTTAGAGTCCAGGTTGAACTGTTTCTGGATATTTGGACTGCTTTGGAGAATTAGGAAATTGGAATGTCCTAACATTCTCCTAGCAACATGCTTATCCTTCCATCTTTCCAGCTCTAACGCTAAGAATGTAACTTTTCCTTCTGTTTTTGGACAGTGACCAAAAGCCTAAACCTGCTTTTCTCCAGCTCCCTGTGCCTTTTCACTGTTTCTCTGAAGAACCAGGCCCCTTTCTGCAGTGGCTTTCAATGTCTGTTGCTGAATGTGCCTGCTTTCTCCATTAGGACCCTAATGGAGGAGGTGTGGCTTTCCCCTTCCCTTTCTACATCTCTATCCTCCTAGCATTGCTGAGATATACATCCTGCCTGCCCTGTTGTTTTTCTTTTAAATTCTAATAAAATGTTCAATGAGCTAAGAAAATAAAATTAAAGATTATACAAAGATACTAACATTCTTTAAAAGTTGGCATTTAACCTATTGTATTGGTTATATCTCTGCTGCTGTCATAAAATACCATGACCTAAGCAATTTATACAAGGAAGAGGAATAGCTGCCCATCATAATGAAGAAGGAGCCAGGAGCAGGCATGGCAGACAGAGTAGGAAGCCAAGGAAGCTCAGATCCTCAAACAAAGGACAAAGAAGAAAGAGAAAACCAGAAGGCTCTTAACTAAAGCCTACCCCCCCCGCCCCCAGTGACATAATTCTGCAAACAAGGCCACACCTCCAAACCTTATTCAGCAATGCTACCAACTAGAAACCAAGTATTGAAATGCCTGTGTCTATGGGGAACATTTGTCATTCAAGCTACCATATTCCCCGTCTTGACCCCCAGGCTTGTGACCATACCATAATGAAAAATGTGTTTGATCTAACTGTAAAAGTCCCAATAGTCTTTCATAATCTCAACGCTGTTTAAAGGTCCAATGTCTCTTGGGAGACTCAAAGCAATCTTTTAATTGTAATCCCCTGTAAAATAAAAAAAAAAAGCAAATTACATACTTCCAACATATAATAACATAGAATATACATTACCATTCCAGTAGGGAAGAATGGAGACACAGAAAGAAATACTGGACCAAAGAAAGCAAGACCAGAATCCAGCCAGGAAAACATCAAGTCCTGTAGTTCCACGTCTATTATCAAAGGGTTTAGATGGCTCTACCCTCCCAGCTGTCCTCAGATGTAAGAAGTTGCTCAGTATGACAGTCAACGCCTAAACAAATGAATCCAATAGATAAAGGATGAGGACTCTGGGATTAAGGTCAGATTCATGGTTCTTCTCTCCCCTAGATTGGGCCCTCCAATTGAAGACTAAGCCCCAATGCCACCTTCCCAAGGAAGCCTTGTCACTCTTTAGACTATGGCAGGCCCCTCTGTCATTGTCCTTTCAGCTTTTGTGCTCCTGACAGCATGTATCTAAACAGTAATCAGCCAAGTGTGGGTTCAACTACTCAGGTGATGCCCCTGCCCACTTGGAACATAATGACAAATGATTACTTCTTTCTCACCTTTCAAGTGCTCTAAATGGCAAGAAGTTGTCCTCACAACCACTCCAGTGCTGTCATTATTTCCTTTCTGCAGAGAAGAAAACTAAGATATGGAGAGTTCAAGCAGAAAGTAGTTCATCCAACGTAGAGAGTCAAGTTGAGCTCTGGTCATTGTATTTGACTCGGAGGCCTGACCAATAGGCACTGAGCTTCACCATGCCTTCACTGAGGGCCTTCACTGAGGGCCACAGCATGTCTCTCTTGTTCGTCAGTCTATCTTTGTACCCAGACACCAGACTGATGCAAAGAATACGTTGCCTATCCTCCACACTGGCCTATTCTACAGATACGAATTAGCCTACTTGCTGAAATTTATTTTTAACTCCAAAATCAATTTTCTTGGCACTTTCTTAGCTATTCACAGACATCCAGACAATTAGCAAAAAGAAAAGTTGAGTAGTGCATCTATGTTCTCGAGTGAATTTGAACAAGAAACTGCATTCTAGTTCCAACTCTAATATTTTTGCATTTTGTTTATGTGAAGTTTTTGCTTGTTTTGCTAGTGTGTTTTGGGATTTGGTGTTTTGGGTTTTATTTTGTTTTGTTTGAGACAGGGTCTCACTATGTAGCACAGGCAACACAGTGGAACACACTATGTAGACCAGGCTGGCTCAAACTCAGAGATCTACCTGCCTCTGCTGGGATTAAAGTTCTACTACCACAAGAACTTTATAAAATTTAATTAGTGTTGAGAACAAGAACTGATGGTATGTCATAAATAGATGGACCAGCCGTTAGTTCACAAATCTTGATGCCCTAGCCTACTCCCAGGTTGCTTAGGCACCTGTGATGTCATCATTGGTCCCCAGCACCAGGGGCCTGGGATAAAAGGACCGCTGCCTAATATCTATCTATCTATCTATCTATCTATCTATCTATCTATCTATCTATCTATCTCTGTCTCTCTCTCCTCTCTTGCTCTCTTTGCTTTTGTTTCTCTGTCAGAGCACACACCCCCATCTCTGTCCCTCTGTCTCTCTCTGTCTCTCTGCCCTCATGGCTCACTCAGGCCCTAACTCTCTTTTGCTTCCCTTCCCCCAAATAAATCTCTTTCATAGCAGATCTGTGTATGCATGGCATCACTTTTAAATCATAACATTGGTGCCGTGACAGGATAAAGCAGGTAGAAGGCAGAGTCGGGTAGAGATGAAGCTGCCTCAAAAGCTCAGCCTGACTTCTCTCTTCTCCCTGCCCAGGGGTCAGAATCACCAAGGTGGACTGGCAGCATTCAGAAAATGGTACTGCCCACCACACTCAAGAGTTCCCTAGCTCTGAGCTGGTGGTTCGGAGGGGCCAGTTATTCACTCTTACCCTGGAGCTGAGTGGAGTCCTGGACAGCGAAGAGGCCCTCATCTTCACCACGGAGACAGGTAACAGGCCTTGCAGGAAGTTCTGTTGATTGGCAGACTTCTGACTTTAAGCTCAAGGCAACTTGAGCTTCTACAGTCAGTAGTCTCTAGGAGGAAGCGAGGCTCTGGGAAGTCAGCTGAATCCTGGGAACCTCTGATAACAGCTTCCATGGGAAAGGTGGAACATGCCACCTGCCCACAGCAGCCTGCTGGGTGAGGTGACCTCTCTGAAGCCCTGTATATAGGAAGGAATCCAGGGCTCTCAATGGACATAATGGCCAGGCACTTTGGGAACCCAAATTCTTCTTCCTTCTTCCAGCCAGATAAAAGGCCAGCTGCCACTTTCTCCTTTGCCTGAGGGATAGTTTGGGAGCCAGGGCAGCTGAGAGGTGCCCATTCCACCTCTGGGCTCCCTGAGCGTGCCCAGTCCCTCCCTTTCCAGCTTTCCAGCTTGAGGGGAAAAAGTCTGGCTTCTAGGCCTATAGCTTTTCCTCTTCTCTAAAGGAGGCTTTCTCCTCCTTGCCAGGGCCCCATGCGTCTGAGGCTCTCCACACCAAAGCTGTATTCCAGACAGCAGAGCTAGAAATAAGTGACACCTGGACAGCGGCAAAGGGGGAACAGACAGAGAATACGATCACCATCAGCCTCGGGAGCCCTTCCAATGCCGTCATTGGCAGGTACCTGCTGAGTGCCAGGGCCTCTTCCCGCCGGAAACACAGTGACCGAAAGCTGGGCCAGTTTATTCTCCTGTTCAATCCCTGGTGCCCAGGTAGGAACTGCCCCGTCTGAGACCCAGGGTCTCCTGGAAGCCATCCTCAGAGGCAGACCTCCGGAGCAGTGGGGGAGGGGGGCCTTGAAGGCAAGTCAAGGGATAGGAATACAAAAACCAAAAGCCAGGACCAGGGAGAGATCCCCATTATCAGGCATGACAATAGAGTCTGGGTTAGAGAGGCAGGAAGCTAGAGGCTTCTGATTAAGAAGCCATTCGGTCAAATGGGACTTGAGAAAAGTAGGAGAGGCTCAAGAGCAGCGGCAGGGTGGAGTGGGGGTAGGTTTGACTAAGCTGCACTCACTCCTCTGGGAGGCCGGCTCCGCCCCTGAGAGGTGGGAGTAATAACAGGACCTAACTCTTGTGGATGTGATGGGAATTCTTTTGACTGGTGCTGGAACATACAAGCCGCATCACGAGACCTCAGCAAGGGACTTTATTAATGTTTACAAAATATAAAGCTGCTGCTGGCATCAAAGTGGAAATTCAGACATATAGGCCCTTCTTAGGGGGGGGGGGGAACGGCTCAGAAAAGGTGAGTCTTAGCAGAGAGGAGCACGGAGCCGGTAAGCACCTTGCCCGGTCCAGACCCATCAGCCTCCAGGCTCTGTCCTATTCCTAAGCCCTTCCCAGGCAGGTGGGGACAAAGCCTCGGCCCACACGGGTCCTGCTGACTGCTTTTCAGAGGACGATGTGTTTCTGGACTCGGAAGAGGAGAGGCAAGAGTACGTGCTTAACGACAGTGGCATCATCTTCCGAGGCGTGGAGAAGCACATCCGAGCCCAGGGCTGGAACTACGGGCAGGTCTTCAGGGGCACAACCAGAGGGGGTGGACTGGGCCGGGGTGTGGTAAAGGCAGCCTCAAGAGGCTTCTATCTACCCTCCTCTTCCTAGGAGCGGCAAGCTGGGCAGATTTTTAAAACAGGCAAATTCATTCATTCACTCATTCATTCATTCAACTACCATCCTCTGTGCTAAGTAAGGCCTGTCTTGGACCCTTGCGAAGGGGGAGCTTACATTGGATACAGTTTGGAAGTAGAAGTCAATTCTGTGTGGAAATACAAGTAGCTTCAATCAGTGGTTCCCAGGCAAGAGCGTGCACCAGAATCGCTGGAGGGCTCCTGAAATCACAGGAGGCAGGTTCCACCCTCAGAGAGACCAGCTTAAGCAGGTCTGGGGCTGGCTTAGAAATCTGCATTCTGAGCAAGTTCCTGACAGTGCTGACACTGCCAGCCTGAGACCTTGCTTTGAGAGCCCCTCCATATCTGCAGGGAGCTGGTTCCGTACCCACAGCAGGCACCAGAGCCCACGGATGCTCAAGTCTCTTCTCTAAGGAATAAAGATTTGTGTAGGGCCTGAGTACTTGTGTGTGTCCAGGTCTCTCTGAGTCACTCCTAACCCCTAAAGCAGTGGAAAGGCTGAACAGTTACGCTGCAGTGTCCAGTGATGGGTGGGAGAGGAGGGGAACATACACATATTCAATTCAGACACAAGGACACAGAACATACACTTACGGGGCTGACTATAGCCACAACACCACTCTCAATGGGTGAAGGAGAATGGGGGTGTATGGAACGGAGCAAAGGCAGCTCAGGAGAAGGCAAAAGGAACTACCTCTGAGATGATAGATGGTAGCTTCAGGTGCGCAGAGTTGGGCAAGACCTAGATAGGGGAGGGGGAGTAGCCCAGGCTACTGGGAGTGGAAATCAAGGGAGTGTAGAGTCTACTGAAGGGCTCTGCCTGCCTCAGCTGCAGGTGGCCCCTGGGGCTCGATTGCCCATCTCAGGGCAGACTGGAGCTCAAAAGCATTAAGGGCTCGGGAACTAGACAGCAATGTTACACTGGAAGTTTAGGTCCATCCTTAGCTACAGCCTCTTCCCACCACGGGAGCCCACGGCTGTTAAACCTTCCAGATGCGCAGAGGAAGTTTGAATGGAAAATCCTACTTAAGTGCCATCAGCTGATCCAAATGTACACGAATCACAAAGAGCAGAGGAGGGTGTCAGTAAGATATGGCTCAAGGACCATCACGGGGAATCATGGGAAGGGCACGGAAGGTTGAACTTCTGCTCCCAAAGTGACCCTTTGAAGAAGGATTTTTTTAATGTCTCCAGGGAGAGCTGGTACAAACTAGTACAGACACAAGCGACAGATCAGGCGGGGTTGCGGGAGGGACTAGAATTTGCTCAGAGACTCTGGCCTCTGAGCACAGCTTCTCTGGGAGCAGTTTGAAGAGGACATCCTGAACATCTGCCTCTCCATCCTGGACCGAAGTCCTAGGCACCAGGATGACCCAGCCACGGATGTGTCCCGCCGCCATGACCCTGTCTACGTCACCAGGATCATCAGTGCCATGGTGAGCCCGCCACTACCATCCTTACCGAGCCTTCCTGCAAGGATACCCCAAACCAGCACCGTACCCTAAGAATCTCACTAACTCATCGCTTGCTTTCTGCATTGCTGCATAACCAACCACACGCAGACTCTATGCTATCACACTCCCTGTGTTACATTCAATTCTGTAGGCCAAGAATTTGGCAGGACATCCTGAGAATGGCTTCTGCGGGGGGCTCCTGAATGGCTACAGGTGTCCAAGGTGGTTAGGTAGAACCGTATATCTCAAGCCTTTGGCGCAGGTAGTTGGTAGCACCCTGTTTCCTGTTCATGTCGTGCCTACTGGACTTCCCAACTCTCACTCAGACCTCCAGGCTGGAGGGGGACTAAAAACTGGGACTGGCCAGTGATCTCACTTGTGTGTTCAAAGCAGTCCCAGGACATTTCAGGTACAAGGGTATGGGCCCAGACCCCACTTCCCCAGGGAAGAAGCGCCTACTTTAACCAATCACAAGCTAGAGGACATACACTGTAAAAGGCAGGAAAAGAGCCTGTCATTTGTATTGGCTCTCATTTTTTAATTGAAATACAATTACATTGTTTATACCCTTTCCCTCTCTCCCCTCCAGGCCCTCAATGTAACACTCCCCTTTCTCTCTCTCTCTGAAATCATGGCCTTTTTTTTTTTCTTCGTAGTTATTGGTGTGTGTGAGGGTGTGTGTGTGATGCTTCATAATATTTAAATATATAAAAACAACATGCTTAGTCTGTTTAGTGTTACTCGTGTATATGATTTCGGGGATGACCACTTAGTACTGGATAACAAATTCGGGAACTCATCCCCAGGAAAGACAGTTTCTCCAATTCCCATCACTCCTTAGCCGTCTGTAGTTCTCTGTCCACAGGTCCTCTGGACCCTGTGAGATTTCTCCCTTCCACATTAGCATGACTGTGGCTGTTGTACTAGGTCAGGTCCTGTTTGGGCAGCCATACTGTGGTGGTTTCATGTTTGAAGCTTCCCTGTTATTCCTAGAAAATACAGTCTCATAACAGATTTCCTGGTCCTCTCTGAGAGAGCCTACTACCGTGCAGGTGTTGAGGTCCTGGTTGGGGATTTGGGATTCTGAAAGTAAAGCCGTATTTCTTAGATGTCCTCAGTTCTCCAAGTTGAGAACAATGACGGAAGTCAGAGAGACAACACCAGGAAGGATCCTAGACCTGCAGTGACAGTTCTGGGCTCTCGTATCACCCCTTTGCTAGTTTGGGCAAGTCCCCTAACCCCTCTGAATTTCACTTTTCTCCTCTGGGGTGGGGGGGGGAGCACTATAGGAGGATAAAAGACTTAACATGGTAAACATAAAACAAGTTAACCCCCCAGACATAAAATCCTTGGAGCAGTGCCTCACGCTCAGGGCGTTCAACAGGCACCCAGATGCAGCTATGATTACAGACAGCATTGCTAACAGCCCCAAACTGAACTTACATACAGATACTTAAAGCAGAAAATGCCCCAAATCACAGATGACTTTTGAAAACAGACTTTTCAAATCGAAGATAATTGAAACTTATTAATAGTGTAAAAAGCAGGCTTTTTTTGAGTTTTGTGTTTGGAGAGGTGTTTAAGATCAAATCCCAGGCCTCTTTGCATTCTAATCATGTGATCTACATTCTAGACAGACAGACAGACAGACACACACACACACACACACACACACACACACGTAGTGGTATTTTTAGAAAGCAGAGTGCCCTAAATTTCAGGTAATTTAAAGGCAAAAAGTGACCCCCCTGACTTGGGATTCCAAAGCGGGGAGATGGACAAAGTGGGGGTGCCTGCCCGGTGACTGACCCCTTGCCTCTCTGCTCAGGTGAACAGCAACAATGACCGGGGTGTGGTACAAGGCCAGTGGCAGGGCAAATATGGCGGTGGCACCAGTCCACTGACCTGGCGTGGCAGCGTGGCCATCCTGAAGAAGTGGTTTCAGGGCAGGTACAAGCCGGTCAAATATGGCCAGTGCTGGGTCTTCGCAGGAGTCATGTGCACAGGTAAGGGAAGAGAGGCTTCTCATCAGTACACACAGCCCTTAAGTGTGCACGTGTTCATATAGATTTGCATTCATTGCAATCAGTTTTCATTAATGAAGGGGAAATAGAAATCCGGTTAAAGAAGAGAGAAATCAAACAGTCCATTTATCTGACATTTTGATCTTTTATTTGGCATCCATCCTCCCTCGTTGGGTGTCATGGGTCAGCCCTGTGGCCCTCAGATCCCCTCAGAAGGGTGCATGGATGGCATTGCAGTGTAGACTGTCTACCCACATGAGGGTGACGTCCCCAGAAGCCCGCTGAGAGAATGCAGAGGACTTGGTTCTGACGGAGAGTGCCACGGTAGAGGCACTGGGGGCTGAGTCTAGAGAGGCTGAGCAGCCACAGTAGGCTCTCCGCTCCACAGTCCTCAGGTGCCTGGGCATCGCGACCAGGGTGGTGTCCAACTTCAACTCAGCCCATGACACTGATGGCAATCTGAGTGTGGACAAGTATGTGGACTCTTTTGGCCGGACCCTGGAGGACCTGACAGAAGACAGCATGTGGTAAGTCCCGGGCCACTGAGAGTCGGGGTCAGGAGCTGCCCAGCCCAGGCCTAAGGACCCAACACCTTCCTTTAGCCACCAGATGTTTATCATTGTGTTTTTAACTTCGGTCTTTCTCTGGTCAATTCATTTGAATATAGGCCTCATCTTAGACGTCGTTCACCTACAGTAGGTTTCCACCAGCTTCTCTGGTACAAGCCCCTCATTTTCTACACGACATTTATTATATTGTTTGAGGTTCCCTGACTTCCTATCTGTTCCCTTCAGTAAAATAAAAACACACATATATACACAAGGATATACACACACTTATACATATATTTACACACAGACATACATATATACATACATACATGTAAGCACACAAAAACAAAACATATACCAACATACAAGCAGGGAGATACATAAACAGAAAACACACAAACATGCAAACAAACAAACATACGCCAACATCTAAGCACTCATACATACAAGGGCATAAATACCCATGAACATGCAGGTATGAAGACACACAAACATACAAGCACACATAAGCATAAAAGCACTCATTCATACAACAGCACAAACGCAAATAAGCAAGCATGCATATGCACATATACCTACGCATATACACATATACTACACACATGTACAGATAAACACACTCAATTATACAGACATAAAGACACATAACAATTGCTACTATGATGGCCTGACTTTTTGCCTGGCATGGCAGCACATTCTTGTCATTCTAACACTCACGGGGCTCAGAAAGAAAGATGGGAGATCAGCGGGGCCTACGTAAGGAATTACAGACAAGCCTGGTCTACATTAGCCAGAGCGTAAGTGGCGTGAAAGCAAGACCTTTGACCTTACCTGCAGCTATGTTTCTGGTATTGTGAGAGCAGATTGTTGGTATGTGTACGTACATTCATAAACACAGATGTGAGTGTGTCCATCGGACCAGGTGAAGAAGCGTTCACAAGGTTCAGACCCAGCACTGGCTTGTCTGCGCTAGGGACTTCCCTTCCCTGGGCCTCTGTATGTACACAGCTGCTTGTTCATGTGTCTCTGGCAGGAATTTCCACGTCTGGAATGAGAGCTGGTTTGCACGACAGGACCTGGGCCCATCCTATGATGGCTGGCAGGTTCTGGATGCCACGCCCCAAGAGGAGAGTGAAGGTAGGGATCGTTGGGTGGCCCCAGCCCCCTTTGGCAGCACACTGCTTACGCTACCCCTCCTGCCCAGGCATGTTCCAGTGTGGCCCGGCCTCAGTCACCGCCATCCGTGAGGGTGACGTGCATCTGGCCCACGATGGCCCCTTCGTCTTTGCTGAGGTCAACGCTGACTACATCACCTGGCTATGGCATGAGGACCAGAGGCGGGAGCGTGTGTACTCGGACACCAAGAAGATTGGCAGGTGCATCAGTACCAAGGCCGTAGGCAGCGACTCCCGGGTGGACATCACAGGCCTCTACAAGTATCCAGAAGGTGAGGGCCTTTATCAGCCGCCCCCCACACACACACACACGATGGTCTGTGGGCTGCAGACGGCCCACGTAGAACCCGGGACCAGATCTTCTCCAAATGGCGACAGTAGCTGCAGCTCAGCATTGACTGAGCTGCCGGCATCTGCCTTCTCTGCTTGCTGGGCCTCTCTTCTGCGTTGCTTTCCCGTATTCAATAGTACTAGTGTTGTTTCCCCAAGCGTTTGCCCTATGCCTAGGTCTGTATGGGTATCCACATGGGGTAACAATTGTACAGTGAGTGACCATGGGGACAGTGGCAGGTAGTACTGATGGCCACAGTGGGAAACATGGCCTAGGCAAAATACAAAACAATAGTAGCAGCCTCTGGAGTCTGTCACCTCCCAGGCCTCTGCCACAGCCTTAGCCCCTGGTTTATGGAAGGACCTTCGTTTGTTGGGGTACAGAAACAGGACAGCCGCGTGTTTTTCTCATTGCCGCCTCCAACGCTGTTCTCCGAAGGTCTCCTTTTCCCACAGGGAAGCAGGTCCCTGGACAGGGCGCTGATGTGAGCCGTATGTCCAGCCATCTCTGCACGTTAAGACATGCTACTAAGTGATTAAGAGCTGCTTCAAACTGGGATCAGTTTGCCCCTGCTGATCCCTGAGCACAAACCAGAGCAGCGACACTAGCAGGTTACAGGAAGGAGGAGGAGTTTGTTCCCGGTGTCTCTGCCAGGACGGGCACCATAGCACGTCCTTCAGGCTTTGCCCCTGATAATCTGAGGCTACTGAGACTGCCATGGGGCCACCTCCCTCTTGGGGCAGGGTGCTGACGCTTACAGCCTCTCCGCTGTTAGAACACCCCAAACTCTGCCCCAGTTCTCTCAGGCCTCCTAACCCCCCAGACGCCAGCGTCGCCCTGGTTCCCATCTCCGCTAGGCACCACCACTTTTTCATCCTCTTTTTTGTGGGATCAGAGTTGACTGGCAGGCGAGGGAGCTGGTCTGCCATCTGCAAACACTTTCTGGAATTCAAAATGTGGAGCCCTGGGATTTTTTTTTTTTTTTTTTTTTTTTTTTTTTTTTTTTTTTTGTCCTGAGTTGGCCTTGGCCTGAAAAGAAATCAACATCCCATTACATGATGGCAATAATGAGTTTCTTTTCTCCCAGTTGTCAGAGATGCTGAAAATCTGCATTTTTATGTGAAATATCCTGATCTGATGTGTTAGCAACTGTTGTAGAGTAGATTTAAATAGAGACTCGAACATGGGCATTTGGCAAAGGGCTCCCAGTTTGAGCCCTCTGAGAGCCGGGGGAATTTAAGGTGGCGATAAGTGGCGGGTTTTCCCAGAGCAAGAGAGTCTGGACCCGGGTTGGGGGAAGAGGGTGCTGCCTATCCCTAATAGGAGAGTACCCTGCAGGGTCACGGAAGGAGAGGCAGGTGTACAGCAAAGCAGTGAAGAGACTGCTCAGCGTGGAAGCCTCGGGGAGGAAGAGGCGGGTCCGCAGGGCTGGAGTGCGCGGAGCCTGGCGCGATGACCTCCTGGAACCTGCCACCCAACCCAGCATCACTGGCAAGTTCAAAGTACTGGAGCCACCGGTGCTCGGCCAGGACCTGAAGCTGGCCCTGTGCTTGACCAACCTCACCTCCAGGGCCCAGCGGGTCCAAGTCAATGTGAGTGGTGCCACCATCCTCTATACTCGGAAGCCAGTGGCAGAGATCCTGCGTGAATCCCACATGGTGAAGCTCGGGCCACTAGAAGGTAAGATCAGGGTGAGCCAATGGGATCTGGCCGATACAGCTTCTTTTCCAGATTAGCTGGGGGATGAGCGGCAGCGAGAGGGAGTCCCAGATTTATGTGTGTCCCCAGGAAGGATAGCCCTAAGCTTCGATGTCAGTGCCTGCCTCTTGTCCCCACTTTACAGATAAGAAAATTGAGGGTCAGAGGAGGAGGGAATCATGATCGTGTGGCTTACTGTATTATGATGGCAGTGTTACTATGAAGCCACAGGTGGCACACTGGCCTTGAGGGTGAAGTCATCACAACCAATGTGATTATTTACAGACCAAATAAGCACTTGCTGGGAGCATGTCACTATGCACAGGACATACTCTTTGTCACTTTTCTAAAGTCCACGGACACCCTAGATCCTAAGAATGGCTTTGTCCTTCAGAGAAGCAAACCCATACCCAGAGTTCAAATTCATACCTGGTACCTATGGTGGCGGGACCCAAACTCAGGCAGCCTGGCTTAAAGGAACTCCTGACCCAGAGGAGAGGGGCTAGGCTTCCACACCCAGGACACTGCCAGGTGCCCAGCACTTTGGCGCTCAGTCACTTGTCCATAAGCTGGCCCACAGGCTCATCCCATGCCAATGATGCTCGCTTGCTTGACTTCGCATTTGCCTAAAATCCATACTTGGCATTTCATTGCAAAATGGCATGGGCCCAGGCCTTTTGATAATTTTTGAATAATTTTAACTGGCCTCGTTGCTTGTCTTTTAATCAGTCAGGGATGTTTCTCATGATCCTTGAACACATCACACTCCATGTTTGATTTCTCAGGTGAAACCATTTGTTTCCTCTTCCTTCCTTTTCCTAATTTGTCTCCCTCCTTTTTATCTGTCTCTGCCTCACTCCTCCCACGTATGGTCCCTTTCTGTCACCCTGCTACATGTCACGGTCTCCGTCACTGTATGTGTTTCCCGTTTCTGTCTCTGTCTCTACACATCTTTCCTAACCCTCTAAATATATGTGTGCGCTCTGTATGTCTGTGAGAATCATGTGTCTGTCCCCACCACTTCTTCACACGCCATCTCAATTCTAAGAACACAGCTAAACAAAATTTAACTGTATCACCCCTCTGGACCAGTTTCTGGAAAATGCACCTTGTGGGTGTAGACAGGCATAAGAACCCGGGAAGGAGGTGCAACACATTTTTTAGCTCTTTTTGTCATTTCTTGTCACAAAATCTTAATCGCCAAATAACACTTCATAATAGAATAAATTAACATCTCCTAGCTTTTAGCATTTTTTTTCATGTTCAAAATAGTACATATTCATTAGAGAACTAAAAAGCAAACGAGGAAAATCACCTCTTATCTCACCACCTACCTACGGACTGTTGACAGATTTTTCTTTTAAGTGTGCACTGCTTGTTTGCCTTTTGAAAAGCGTAGTTCTAATTAAATATTGCCATGCTGTGTGCTCTTGATATTATATTATAGCTCATTTTATAATATCTTCATAGGACTCATTTTACTTGCTTTAAATTTTTAGGTAAATTCAAGGTGCTTTTTTGGGGTTTGGGTTTTGGGTTTTTTTCCTATTTTTTTTCCCCAAAGAACCAGCTTGATTTGGTTGATTTTTCAATACTAATATCTTTTTTTTTTTTTTTTTTTGCTTTCGTGTTCACTGATTTCTATCTAATTAGTATTATCCTCTTTATCTTTCTTTTGTATTGTTCTCTTTTTGAGTGATTTTTTTTTTTTTGTATTGTTGGTTGGTTGTTGTAATACTGTAAACTGAATGCAGGGCTCTATGCTTTGCAGGAGCTGCCCACTGAGCTCCATCCCTGCCCCTTTTACTTTTCATTTTATTTGAGACAGGGTTTCACTGGTTTGCCTGGGCTAGCCTTGAGTGATCCGTAGACCCAGCAGGTTGTTGAACTGGTGGTCCTCCGACTTCAGCCCCCCAAGCAGCTAAGGTTAGAGACACATGCCCCCAAAGCCCAGCTTTTTCTATTCCTTTTCTTCTGGTATACATTGGCTTTAATTTTTCTAGTTTTCTATGAACACTTAGATTAATGATTTTAAATCTGCCCCCTCTTCACTACATATACTGAATAATTAAAATTTCCTTCCAAGCACTACTTTTGACATTTCTCACAAAGTATTTTCATTTTCATTTTCTTCAAAATATTTAAAAATATATCTTGATATTTCTGCTTTAACCAATATTCTTTTAGAAATGTATTGAGCAAGGCACAATGGAACAAACATACAATTCTAATGCTCAGGAAGCTTAAGCAGGAAAAGCATGAGTTAAGTAACAAGACTTAACTTTTTTTTATTTAAAGTAATATATTCTTTAATTTCCTAGCATTTGGGATTTTCCAGTTCTCGTTGTTATTGTCCTCTGTTAAATTGCCCATGGTCTGAGGGCACACACTGCACTATTTCTATCCTTACAGTTATTAATATGGTATTCATGGCATAGAATATAATCTGTCTTGGTAAATGTTCCATATGAGCTTGAGGAGAAAGAGTATCTGCTGTGTTGGATGACTATCCAATGGTTGTCTGAGACTTCCAGCTGACTGAGGGGCTGTGGAGAATGGCTGTTTGGGAAAACAGTCTCAGCCTGTCTCAGCTGTGAATGGAGTTCATGACTGGAGTGTCTGCACATTGTGAGAGGCCACCTTTCTCAGGGGTCTGGACTGGTGCCAATAGTCAGCCCAAGCCTACCATTGGTGGCATGTGTCTGTTCTCTAAGATGGAGCTCAGGAATTTGCATTCCAACACGTTTCCAGTTGATTCTGATAATGCTGGTCCCAGGGTCACTCTTAGGGAGTCACAGCCTATGACAACACAACGGAAATTCAAACATGAGAGTGCTGACAAGGAATATCAGTGACACCTACCCACAGCTGGTGGAGCTGACTAAAGCCAACCACTCATGGTCAAGAAACATTTGGAGACATTTCAAGCAAGTTGCCCCCATAAGCTTGGAAGTTGAAGACCATTGTTTGATCTCTCTTTTCTCTGGACCTGATACATAAAAAGCATTCAATAAACAGGGAATAAATTCCAAGTGGGATGGACAAATGGAGTACCCAACATTTCCATCTTGAATAATTATGAAGAGCTTGTGCAGATATCTAGGCACTCTTGGAGACACAGACTGGTACTTATGGTACTCACTGGCCTGGATTTGAATCCAGTTGTACGTGGTGTAATTGCTATGTGCCTTTGGGTGAGAAATATAGGCTCTCTGAGACTTGGGTTTAGCACCTCGTCTGTTCTACCTTTCAGAGAAGAAGATCCCAGTCACAATATCTTACTCTCAGTACAAAGAAGACCTGACAGAGGACAAGAAGATCCTGCTGGCTGCCATGTGCCTTGTCAGCAAGGGAGAGAAGCTGCTGGTGGAGAAAGACATTACTCTGGAGGACTTCATCACCATCAAGGTGACTCCTGCTCACGTCTACAACCCCGTTCCTGGCAGAGCTGGTGGAGGGCATCCGGGCCTTGGGCAGCAGCTTCATCTCTCAAGGGTGGGGAAGATAGCGACATTCTAGCAGGGTAGGTGGGGGCAGAGGTAGATACGACGAAAGGCCCGGCCAGAACCACAGGCTCCAGGGAAGCGGGATGAGGAGAATGCTGGGCGATTCATGAGTGCTGCCTCTCCAGGTGCTGGGCCCAGCGGTAGTAGGAGTGGCGGTCGCTGTGGAAGTCTTGGTGATCAACCCCCTCTCGGAGAGCGTAAAGGACTGTGTGCTGATGGTGGAGGGCAGTGGTCTTCTCCAAGGACAGCTCAGTGTTGAGTAAGTGATGGGGTGTTGGTTGACAGGACAGAGCCAGGCCAAAAACAAACAAAACAAACAAACACCACTGAAAAGGTAGAAGGAGAGACTCCAGGCTTCGGGAACACACTGACTGATCACAACATCAGTCTTTGTCCATTTAACCATTATTCCCCTTGCTTAGCGGATCTGTCATCCACAGGTACTACTAATGTTTTCGTCCATTTACCCACTTGCTTAATGTTCACTTGATGTCTTTGTTTAATTCTTTTAAACTTCTATCTAAGGGTGTTCTGCCTGCATGCATGCCTGTGCACCAGAAATGTCCAGAAGAAGGCATCAGGATCCCACGGATCTGAGTTACATCTGTTTGTGGGCCGCCATGTGTGTGCCAGGAATCAGGCCCACGTTCTCTAGAAGGCAGCCAGTGCTCGTGACCTCTGACCCGACTCTCCAGCCTCACTTGCTGTCTTTCATTCATTCATTACCCACTCTTCTATTCACATTCTCACTCATCAGTTATTCATTCACTCAGATCCTGTCTTGACTGGTTCATTCATCTAGCCATCCATTGCTTAATTTGCTCTCTCATTTACCTACTCATTCATTTATGCATTCACTTACTCTACTCACACAACTCCTGGGTCATACTGATCTGTGCTCTGAGCAACATGGAATTTGTTACGATCTTTTAAATGGCTGTTCCCATGAGAAGATGAACTTCCATGGTCTAGGGGACCAGGGACAGCCCTTGAGTGAAGATTGGGGTGGAGTTCTGGTCCCATTGACATTTGGGTTGATCCCTAAATAATAATGTGAGGAGCTTTTCTGGCTTTGAGAAGGAATGTAGGGCTCCCAGGCAGAGATCTCTGATGCAAGGGAGGCCTCCTTAAGAAGAGAATTCTGGTTCTGAGCCCATGGTGTATCGGGAAAGAAAAGGGCAGCAAGGTAGAAGGAGCCAGAAGCCAAGGAGAGAAGTATGAGGTACACTCAGGGCCAGTGAGGGGGGCACTGACATGGCTAGAAGGGAGGAATGTGAGTGTTAGAGGAGGGGTAAAGCAGGGAATGTGTCGATCCTCAGGATCTGGGGCTCACAGCCTGGCAAGCTAGGCTCAAGGAGAGAGGACTGACTGTCTGCCTTTTCCCCTGCTCTTGTTTCAAGGGTGCCCAGCTTGGAGCCACGGGAGAAGGCCTTGATCCAATTCAACATTACCCCCTGCAAGAGCGGCCCAAGGCAGCTGCAGGTAGACCTTGTCAGCTCACAGTTCCCAGACGTCAAGGGCTTTGTGATCATCCATGTGGCTACAGCCAAGTGACAGGCCACAGGTGACTTGGGGGAGGATTCTGCCCATCTGCTTATTTCTCCCATATAAGAGTCAGCAGTCCTGGGTTAGTCCTGCTTCTGTCTTTGCTCTCCTTCAAGAGCTTAGGCAAGGTCCTTCCCAGTGCATTGAGGTGCTGGACTCAGTAATCCTTTGCCTTCAGGACAAGTGGCTGACGTAAAAGCAAAGGGATTCTTCACCTTTCTGCTGGGAGAATGGCATGTCCCAGCTTTCTGAGAGCCCTGGCTTAGTTAACAATGCCATCTCAGCCCAGGCAACTCACAGCTCCTTGCTTCTCTCCCATTTCTTCAAGTGCCCTGGCCACATTTAGGCTCAAGAATTCTCTAGGACAAAGCACTCCCATTGCAGAAAAGCGTTCCTGAAACTAAACGCAAAGTTGGGTTGAGAACCATGCTGTTCACCCAAGTGTTATCCCCCAAATTCATATTGTTAAAAACAAAATGGATTCCAAGCAACAGGAGAGTTTTTCCTCAGTGGGGACACTGACTCTGGATTTGGGGACTAAAGCTGCCTGCAAGAAGCTGAAGAAGACAAAGTAGTTCTCCCCTAAGCTCGGCAGCATGGATATGCTCTGGCTCAGGCCATCCTGAAGTTCAGAGGACCACCCCCAGATTGCTCAGCACTCTTTCTTGGAACAGGATGGCTTGCAGTGTACAGATCTTACACTTGGAGTTTAAGCAGGACACAAAAGCCTGGGATAAGGAGCAGAATAGACACCACCAGACCATGAAGAATACAACACTGGATATGAAACTTGGCACTGTAATTTTCTGGACAGTCAAAGAAATGAAAATTAGGCTAGAGTTTAAGAACAACACACCAGGTACCTCTGCAATGCAGTTCTTCTTGGATACAAATGAAGAGAAGGGAACTGGGGAGATGGCTCAGCAGTTAAGAGCACTTTCTGCTCTTCTCCTGGAGGGCCTGAATTTGGTTCCCAGCACCCATGTCAGACAGCGCACAACCTCCTGTGACTCTAGCTCCAGGGATCCGACATTTCTGGTCTCTGTGGGCACCTGAACTTACACATACATATACCCTCCTCCCAAACACGGTTAAAATAAAATAAATCCTTTTTTAATACAGATGAGAATTATTTTTGTTGAGAGTCAAGCAAATCTATAATATTTTCTACGCGATACTTGTAGCATCTCCATACAGGTACATCCGTGACAATTCTACAAGATGTGGAGGCCAGATGAGTGGATGTGTCAAGAGACACATCCACGGGAAATAGAAAGCAGACAGCACTAAGACTTTACATAAGACATAAGCTTTACCAGGAGTTCAAGGACAACCTGGGCTTGAGTGAGTTCCAGGCCAACCTGAGCCATAGTATGTTGACTGATGAGTAACCTGGGCTCAACACTGATGAAGGTCAAGGGATCAGGAGTAAACAGAGAGAACTGCCTAGCCCGGTGGAAGGCCCTGTGACATCCAGCGGGTGGAGCCATGCACAGCCCTGTAACTAAACTCAGTGGAACGGTGTGTGTGTTCCGAAGGGGACAAGGACCACCTGCCAGCTAGCTGTTTCCCATACAACTCCTTTTCCCTTGTTGCTTCCCAGCTGACTTAAGATAGAACTTTAATGGGACCAAACTGGCTTCATGAAATGTTCTAGCCCTGACTGACAGTGCTAAGGCTTTACATAAGACTCAGGCTTTCTACTTCCTTTAAGTCACTTCATCCCCTAAAGACCATCTGATTTCATGAAGGCTCTGAACAGTAAGATAGGTGAGGAATCTCATCTTCTACACAACAAAGTCTCTTCCTTTGTCCTTCCCAAGCCTTTAGTGCAAGCGTTTGAAAGCCAATGCCAAGGCCCAGTATAAGATTTGTAGGCTTTGCAAAGCAGGAGACCCCTGTGGTAGCTGTTCAACTTTGACTCTACAGCATTGAAGTTAACATAGATGCCGCACAAACACGTGTCTTGATGCACATTATTTAAAACAGGCTGCAGGCCAAGTCTACCCAAGACCAGAGCTGGCCAATCCATCCACTGTGCACCAGCAAATTAATTCAAATGCTAGGATCCAGCTCATACCAGGGCTAAGGCAAGCTTTAAGGAGTCCCAGAGTGAAACTAGAATAAACTCCTCTCATGGTACAGTGATTTTAGATTGAGTCATGACTCAAACCTGGGCTGGATCATAACCCTGATATTAAACCAAATTTGAACGCTTGTCCTCAAACCAAATCCTGGCTGGTTCCAGACTGAATCCATAGTAACACTGCCCCTAAACTAACTCTCTACTACTCTGAGACCAGACTATTCTACCCAACACGAGGACCTGAGTCTAACCTCTTGATTAAATTCTGATCCAAGAAGACTGAGCCCTAGGCTCAGTTACATCTGGTTCTAGGCCTTGGATTTAGCTGTTCTCTTCAAATCTGTGCTTCTAAAATGGGACTCACACCCACTGTCTCAGTCACTGGGGTAAAATGACTGTCTGACTTTTCTTTCTCTTCAAGGGTATGGGGCAGACATAGTGCTGAAACATGCTGTCTCCATCCTACCTACCCCATCTCTCTCACGGTGAGACGCCATGTTGTCAATGTAGTTCTCATAGAGTGTCTTAGTTTTGCTATGATAGACACCATGACCAAAGCAATATGGAGACAAAAAGGCTTATTTCAGCCTCCGGTTCCACACTACAGGACATTAGTAAGGGAAGTCGAGGCTAAAACTGAAAGAGAACAAGAACCAAGAGGTAGGAGATAAAGCAGAGAGCACGGAGGAGTGCTGCATACTTGCTCTCCACGGCTTACTTACCCAGGGCCACTGTCACAGGGGTGGCACTATCCACAGTGAGCTGGGTCCTTCCACATCAATCACTAACCAAGAAGATGCTACCTAGACTGCTCACAGAACAATCTGATCGAGGCAACCCCTCAAGATTCTCTCCTACCATGTATGACTAGGTTTATATCAAGTTGGCAAAACCCAACCAACACACAGAACATCTGACCAGGCCTGTCTCCAAAGAGAGAGAAACGGTGAAAGTACCAGCCCTGGACAGAAGGTCACCTGCTACTCCTAGCAAAAAAGATACTCCCCGCAACAAGAATCATTGCACAACAGTGGGAGGAGTCTCCTGGATCCTCTAACAAGCCATCCCTGAGTTCAGCTGCTGTGGGTTGAGCTTCCAGAAAGCCACTCAAAGGTGGAATTTAGGATACGAGATATTGACTAACGAGTAACCTGGGGCCCAACACCCATGGGCAGGGACAGAAGAGCTGGAGTGAGCCAAGGGAGGATTTGAGCCACGATGGAAGCCCTGTGACAGCCCTGAGCAGTGTATCCCCCTCACCTCACCTCAGGGAGCTCCAGAGCTGGAATGGCCTGTCAGAGTGACCAGGTTGTCTGGCAGGGCTAAGTTTCTCTGATATAAGCCATCACTGATATGTCTAGGGACACGATGCTGAACAGGAGAGGGCTCTACAACTGGGATGTCCCTAAATAGAAAACAGCACTTACCAGCACTGCTTTCTACACCACACGCTATGCATGCCTAAGGACAAAGCAGGGCCATAGGTCTCTCACTCACTCTCTAGCCAGTGAAGACAGGATAGATCAATAGATCAATCGGGACATTTTTTTTTACAGTATGACACAAAGTGGGAAATAAAAGTAAACATCTAAATAAATCTACTAATTTAATTTAGTGTTGAATGCCAAAAAAAAAAGTGACAGCCCCCTCCCTAAGTCCTATTTTTTTAGAGAGATGAGCCAGTAGAAAACTCTCTGAGAAGGCTGGGGTTTCAAGTACAATAAAAATAGTGACTGAACTAGTATGCATGCTGGGAGCTACTTCGGGATCCTTACAAATGCCCATCTTTCCTTCATAGCAACTCTATAAAGAAGGTTCTGTTGTTCACCCCTCCTTGAAAATGAGAAGAAGAAAAAAAGCAGAGTACGAAAAGGTTAAGTCACTTGCACATAACCACACAGCACCCATGGTAGCTAATGTTATGTTTTAACTTTAAATTACTGTGTTTAAGAGATCTAGAAAACAAAAATGCCTCTAACCTGTAAACCCTAACTTCCTGGGATGCTGGGGGCTGTTGTTCATGTAAGATAACAAGCCATGTAAACAAGCTTGGTTGACCAAAAAGCACAGGTTGTGTGCTTGATCATATGTAAGCAGGAAATATGTCAGGATGTGTGCTTGTCTCTGATTGCAGGACAAAAGGCAGGAAGTATGAAGCCTAATGAGTTTTACCTTTATAAGTCCCTGGCTAATGTAATTCAACATCATACTCTGAGTATGTATTTCAGGTATGAGGCTGGCCAGGATCCATGGTCCTGGTCATAGTTAAGAAACCCTTTTTTAAAATTTGTTAAAAATTTATTAATTTCCAGACTGGTGAATCTCTGAGCAGATCCATAACACATCTAAGTGGAAGTCTGTGGTATCAGAAGTTTGCTTCATGTGAAGAGCCAGCTGTACAAAGATCTAGAAAATCTGTTCCAGGCAGAGGGTTTAGTGTTTACCTTAGCTTTCTGTTACTATAATGAAATACCTGAGCTAATCATTCATATGTTGTGATCAGGGGCATTTTTCTTTCTTTCCGACCCCTATCTCTCTGAATAACAGTTCATGAGATTCAAAATATTATTTACAAGTACCTAGGCCATATAGCTAGGCTCTTCTCTGACAAGCTCATAACTAATAACCCATTTTACTCTAATCTACATTCTGCCATGTGGCTGGTACCTGTGCTCAGGTACCAGGTATCTGTCCTCCTCACATCTTGCTTGGTGAATCTCCCACTTGGCTTTATCTCAGTGTCCTTTCTCCGGCCAGATATCCTACCTTCTATTTCCTGCCTCAGTTATAGACCATTAGCTTTTTATGGACAGGTGTTGCATTCAAACAATACACAAAATATTCTCTCAACATACATATATGAAGATGTTTGGAAGTTGAACAGATAGTTTGGTGATTAACCACAGGCTGCTCTCCTAGAGGA